CGGCATCGTCAATGAGTCATCATTCTGTGAGAGACTTCACTTGTCTCTGACGAGTTGAAGCTTGGTGCTGAGAATGACAAGACTCACTGATGATGCCGACCACGATCCCGGCGAAACGTCTGGGAATGTACCAAGTCCACGGTCTGATACTGGGATTTATGATCATTATAGCAGATGTCCTGATAATATCCAGAATCGCACCGTTGACTTGATACATTCCTAGACGTTTCGCCGGCATCTTATTCGGCATCGTCGTTGAGAGGTGCCATCCTTAGCACTATATCGGTTAATCGTCTGGGGCTATATTAAGTTAATTGTTCAATGCTGGATGTTACCATAAATGCTATAACAATGAGCTCAGATCCTGGTATGTTCCACAAGGTCTCTGTCACTCCGAGAAATTTGCGAAAGCGAGCTTAAACCCTCCATACACAGCAAAAGGAGACTGAGACCAAACGTAAGGCCACACTATATTGATATCCATTTTTAATTGCATTTTCGATTTTTGTTGCATTTCGTATTTATTCTTCATATTATTCTAATTTCTGCTATCCAATTCAAAGTCCTATTCGAATCAATTCTTGGTTAGTTCTATCACACGAATTCTTACTGCGATAAAAAACGATTCTCAGCTTTGCTAACATGATCAATCGTTCTCAAACTCCTGTCACTCGTTACTTTTTGCCCCAGATATCCGCCAGCCATCTGATCGTGAGCACTGCCTTTCCTTGGCTGTGACTGCAGGTCTCGATCTGCAGCGTTTAACGCGAGCAGTGGTTCGCCTCTTACGATGTCGCGACTCTTCTAATCGAATTCCCTCGGCTGGAAAACGACTCCTTGTTACTGGGACGGTTCAGACTGGTGAACCGCCATTAAACCAAATAGACGGGAAGCGCAGTCTTTCGGAGGCGATGGAGTTGGCTAGCCATTTAGAAGATTGGGCAGAAGGATTTGGTATGTCTGGAGCTGGTGGATGTTTAATGCCAGGGACTATCGCCTCGACAAACGCTGTCATTAGTTTGGAGGATCAATCACGCATAACTATCGTCGATTGGCTTGTTTACGACCCTGCCCAGCGGGGTGAGGCTCTTCTTGTGGGTAACAGTCTGATGCGCCTTTTCATCGCGTTACGAAAGTTTCGTGCTGCCAAACTGGTAATATCATGCTTTGGTGAATTATATACACGTTCCGCCCTGATGCATTTTGGTTTAATAAAGCCTTTATACTTTTAAGAATCATTACAAACTTAAGTGAAAATAACAGACACTTAAGGGGGTAAAAGAAAAATGAGTCATATCAAGATTATAGCTTTTGTATTATGATATTTACAGATTGCGCAACACAAAGATGATGCAGGGGTTAGATTTGCAAATTCGACTAAATGCCTATTAGAGTGATTTAATCCGTTCTCATAAGTTGCTTTAGGATTATACTTCTTTTTTATACTATTCATCATAATATTTGGGATCTTCTCTCATTTCTCTCTCTTATTACTCCAAATGAAGATACGATCCAAGCCACAAGGTAATTGGTATTGCTAGAGTGAACGGGAGTAAATGAATGCGAAAGCACTATTTATTTACCACAGTAGCAACTTTTACTCAAGGACACATTGTTAAATTTGTTCTATATCTACATTTTCATGACGGTATATCATTAATCTAACGAAAACAGGCTTTTTATGAACAATTTTCCTCTTTAGCAGTAGACTGTATATTTTTATTATTGCCCATAAAAACTCATTTAAGAAAACCTACCTAATTGACCGATTTTATGGTGCATACTTTATAGATTCCGTTGAACAAAGCTTTTATTTATTTCTGAAAACCAAGATGTCGTTTTTATGATGATCCATTGTACCCACTGTAGAACCTCACTCTTTAGCATCAAAATTTTCATTTAAATTACCATTTGTTTATCATTTAGATCCGGCAATTTGTAAGGGGCTTGGCTTAAAAGAGAAGTTCATAAATGGGCCTTATACGGGTTTTTGTTGAACTTAGTGTATTTAGCATAAGCATCTTCATACAACCGTGGCCTATAAACTTTTCTTCTGTTGTATCTTAATATTTTATTTTCTTATTTATTTTTGCTTTTATTTAAGATCTTAAGTCATTTGCCTCTTGGAATTTTGGATCAGTCCAAACGTTTGCTTGAAGAAAAGCGTCAAAGCTTCAATTCTAAATCTCACTGGTTGGTCCACGCTATTCGAGAACATGAATGCTTGCTACTCTACTTGCAAGTTCAGGCAGGTTATTTTTCTTTATTTTACAAGGATTACTGATATTTGCTCTACAATTCTTAAGGTTTAAGCCCAGTCAGTTTTTATGCAGGTTCCTGAAACAGTTAGAATTTCCCTTCATTACATTTATCTGCACAGTAACACGAAGTCTGATTTTGTATTTTCTATACGCCCCTGTTTACATGAGAGCTTTGTTGTATATTATAGCCCATTTTATAGAACCAAAAACTTATATTAAATAGCTTAATGATTTGCTTGTGTCACAGGGACATATTTCCGCTCATTTTGCTCAAGCTGTCTTTGAGTTTTGGGGTTATCATAAACAAATATTAACGAATAAATACTGATGAATTATTTTATTAATTTTCATCTTACTTCTATTCCTTCGATTTTATTATTTATTTATTCTTTA